CAATACAGTGACCTATTTCCTCAAGTCAGCAAAGACCTTCAAGCCCCCCGGGTGCTCTAAAAATACAGCTGCTTACACGGCCAGAGCAGCAGCAAAGATGCCGCCTGGGCTCCTTGTGCTCGTCAAGATGCACACTTTGGAAAAACAACAAAGAGCCGTAGTTTTTCCACGGAGAGGACAGCCGGACAGCAGGGTGGGTGCTCAGTGAGCTCTGCGGGACAGACCCTTCTGCAGTTCATCCTAACCGCACCTTACCTTCTCCTTCATTAGCAGTTTGCAATCATTCTGTTCAATTGCTTGTTGTGCTGACGTTTGGCATTGCCTTTATTTACTTTGCACATGACCCATTCCCAGGCTGAGGCAGACACTTCACTTCTCTCTCCGAAGAGTAAGCGTGAGGGCCCAGCGTGGTGGCTCATACCTGTAATAATCCCAGTGCTTTGGGAGGCCAAGGCAGGAGGATGGCTTGAGGTCAGGAATTCAAGACCAGCTTGGACAACAGAACAAGACCCTGTCTCTACAAAAAATTAAAAGTGCTTCACTGCACCACACAGTCTGGGTGACAGAGAATGACTATCTTAAAAAAAAAAAAAAAAGATCTGGTGGTACAGTTGCCCACCCCACCTCATATCACAGGAGTTTATTGTGTGGCCTCCACATTCTCTCCAAGGTACCCCTTAGCTTTACCAGAGAAGAGCCTTTGGGGTATGTTGTTTTTTGTTTTTTGGTTTTTTTTGAGGAGCCTCACTCTGTTGCCCAGGATGACCTCATGATCTGCCCGCCTCGGCTTCCCAAAGTGCTGTGATTACGTAAGAGACCGTGAGACTGGGGCGCAGTGGCTCACACTTGTAATCCCAAGTTACAAGTATGGGAGGCTGAGTAGGAAGGATCAGTTGACGCCAGGAGTTCGAGACCAGCCTGGGTAACATAGTGAGACCCTCATCTCTACAAAAGATAAAAATATTAGCCAGGCATGGTGGTGCACGCCTATAATTTCAGAATGTAGTGGCTCACGCCTGTAGTCCCAGCCACTCAGGAGGCTGAGGCAGGAGGATTGCTTCAGCCCAGAACTTCAAGGCCACAGTGAGCTATGACAGTGACACTGCTCTCCGACTTAGATGACAGAGTGAGACCCCATCTCTTTTTTAAAAAAATTTTTTTTTAATTCTCTGGGCATTGTGATGCACACCTGTAGTCCCAGCTACTCAGGAGGCTGAGGCAGGAGGATTGCTTGAGCGCAGACGTTCAAGGTTACAGTGAGCGCTCCAGCCTGGCAACAGAGCACGATCTTGTCTCTAAAAATAAGATAAAAATTAAAATCCAAGTAAAATAAATCTTTAAAAGAAACAAAGTGCTTCTCAACCATTCATGTACAGGGACATCGGGTAGACTGAAAAAATGAGCCACTAGTGCCTTCTCTGGAAACAACTCATCCCCCACCCCCAGAAAAAGGCAGCTTGACCCAGAAAAGTAAGCCTTTTAAATTGTGGAGTCTGGGCTGGGCGCCATGGCTCACGCCTGTCATCCCAGCACTTTGGGAGGCCAAGGCGGGCAGGTCACTTGAGGTCAGGAGTTCGAGATCAAGCTGGCCAACATGGTAAGACCTCATCTGTACTAAAAATATAAAACTTAGCCAGGCACGGTGGCTCACGCCTGTAGTCCCAGCTACTTGGGAGGCTGAGACAGGAGAATCACTTGAACCCAAGAGGCAGAGGTTGCAGCGAGCCGAGATGGTGCCACTGTACTCAAGCCTGCACAACAGGGTGGAACTCCTTAAAAAAAATAAATAAATAAAAGGTGGAGTCTGGGTTATAGGGCCCAAGGTTCTGAACTTCTAACAAGCTCCCAAGAAGGCCCAAGCTCCTAGTCCACGGACCACACTTGCAGTAGCAGGGTTCCAATAGTATTTCCTGGCCAAAGCCGGTGGCTCACACCTGTAATCCCAGCACTTTGGAAGGCAGCAGGCAGATCACCTGAGGTCAGGAGATTGAGACCAACCTGGCTAACATGGTGAAACCCCGTCTCTACTAAAGATACAAAATGGCATACAGTTTGTGTAAAAAAAAAAATTCTATACACACAGATGTGAATGTATATGGATAACCATTTCAGAAAATGCGCACAAGAAATTGGAAACAGCCGTTAGAAGTTCAGCTGGGCGTGGTGTTAGAAGTTCAGCTGGGCGTGGTGGTGCACACCTGTAATCCCAGCTACTCGAGAGTCTAAGGCAGGAGAATCGCTTGAACCTGGGAGGGGGAGGTTGGAGTGAGCTATGATGACACCACTGCACTTCAGCCTGGGCGACAGAGCAAGACCCTATCTCAAAAAAAATAAAATACTGGCTGGGCACAGTGACTCACTCCCGTAATCCCAGCACTTTGGGAGGCCGAGGCAGGCGGATCACCTGAGGTCAGGAGTTCAAGACCAGCCCGATCAACATGGGGAATCCCTGTCTCTACTAAAAATACAAAAATTAGCTGGGCATGGTGGCGGGTACCTATAATCCTAGGTACTCAGGAGATCGAGGCAGAAGAATCGCTTGAACCCAGGAGGCGGAGGTTGCAGTGA